TTTTTATATTTATTATTCTATAACTAATGTCCTCTGGTAAATCGCATAAAAAGACGCATAATATTTATCAAAGAACACATTTTATGAAAACTGAGCGATATAACAGATTAGTGACATCATATATATCCTATCGAAAGGGTTGAGATTTAGTATATCACAAATTTCTTATTTTGCCATTAATAATATAATCAATATAATAATTTTTGAAAATATTACCCGCGCATCCGAAAATATTTTTTCTAGTATTTTATAGTCGACCAAATATTTAAATTGAAATCGATAGCCTTAAATCGGAAATCGGTATTTAAGAAGCATCGGCAGTCGATAGAATGTGTGCTAACTTTACTCCCATCACTAATTCACAACAGTTTGCTTCATACAATTTGGCGTTTTCGTTGACGAGCTAAAATTATTGGAAATAAAAAAAGAGCGAAAGCCTTATAAGCCATGGCAGACAGGCTTACTCAACTACAGGACACTGTCAATCAAGTAAGCGGTCAATAAATATATGAGTAACAAAGTTATGAGTAAATGCATTGCCTCTTTTTTTAGCAAGCTGAGCACTTTTGCAATGCCATTGGTGTAATTCAGCAAACCTCATATCCTAGCAAGTTTGCAAATTTCGACAGAACTGGCTCACAAACACCCGTACAGAACCCGCCTCAGGAAGACTATGCTCAACTTTTCGCCCAGCTCATAGCTCGATGTGCTAAGGACATTGATACGCTTATTGAATCTTTACCTAATGAAGACAGTTCAATTGAATTACAAAATTCGAGTCTTAAGCGACTGGAGATTGAAAATCAAGAAACTGCTGAGCAGCTCGAACAAGTTGTTCAAAAAGGAGAATTATTGCTGGAAAAGATACAATCGGCTCTGGGGGACATTGCCCAATCACAATTAGATATGCAAATAACATTAAAGCCCAATTTAAAATGAATTTTTAACCCCTTGTGAATAGTGGATTAAGTAATTTATATATGTATATAGACTAAATAAATTATGTGAAATAAATTGCTAAAAATATGATGTCGAAGACATTAATTTATTTGAAATTGGTTGAAGCGTGTTTAAGTCCAAAAAATCTGTAATCACTGTTAGATCTGAAAATATCCATGTTTGTTGAACACGACTTTTAGTGCTTTAAATGGCATACAAATCACTTAGTCTTATATTCTTTATTTTTATTTATTACCCCTAGATATTTTATGTTTGCAGAGTTACATACATATATGAAAAGCATACAGGAATCCGTTCTATCTACTTGCCCAACAGATTTTGTAAAATATTTAATCAATTCCATCGCTCTATCAATATTTAATAAATATCTTTTATGCAGACCTGCTTCATCTGAACTACTAAGTTATAAAATTCGTTAAATATGAATTTCTGCAATAATTCATAGATTTCAATTACTATATTTGTATATGTCGAAAATCGGTTTCTATCCTATAGTCACATTCGACGAATTTTCCAATATCCAATGTAATGAGCATGCATATTTCAAAAGTCACTTTGATACAATAAATCGATTTTTAAGTATATCATTTTCATTGCAATATTTAATGAATATATTAAAAACGTTGCACATCCTTTTTTAGCATTTTACTTTATACAATTATTCACATTCTAATATTATACACTTCAATGTAGACTTATTTATATATACATAGCAGAAAGAACTGTTATTATTAAAAATAAATACTTAATAAAGTAGAGTTCCATATTGCTTAAAATTAAATTTTAAAGAAACTATATTTAAGGTAAATATTGGTGACTATTGATACAATTCTTAAAAAATGAAACATATAAAAACCAGGCATTTTTTAGTCAAATTTACATGTTATATATTACCTTTATTAATCAAAACGTTACGAACGACAAATCTTACGAATTTATGGTCTATTATTCAAAACAGGCGGCGATGCAATGCTTCGAATTTCTTGTTTATATTTAATTTTAAATTACTTAAAATACAAAAATGTTCTAACTAAATGTAACAGAATACATAAAATAATATTGTGTTCTTCTAAGCGCTGTAATAACAAAAGGTGTTAAAATAAAAGTAATTTTTAACATTAATTTTTAGTAATTTTGCAGCGTATCTAAAGCCAGTCCTTCTCTGATTTAGTTAAGCGTACCCCTGCACCCTTGAGCTCCACATAGACATGGGATTTTCTCCTCCTCTAAAGGAAATTTGTAGTCATAAGTAATTTCTTCGTTAACACCAATAGGTTGTTTTGAATATATAACAATCTTTTTTTCGGACTCTATGGTAATGACTTTGGCATAACAATTTGGCTGCAAACAGAATTAAGAATCAATAAATTAGCAAGAGCTTTAATCATTGATATAATTTAGTTATACTTACATTACAGCTATGATTTATAAATCTTGCCAAATTGCCACATTTAGTTGCATCAATAATAGTCTCCATATCGATCCGGAATAAATATGAGCTTCCAATGCCAATCGCTTCATACTTGGTCTCTCTTAAATCTGCAACTACTGGTCGAATCATTTGCCCAACATATTCAATAACCATTTCATCTGCTGCAATAGGTTCCATGGCAAATAATCCCCAGTCGTGAATTGCCGACTTTGCGAATTTCAGCTGTTTTTTACGGAATTTGAGCTGATTGAATTTCAACAGCTCGGACTCGCCCATCGATCCGAAGGCCGTCAGAAGACGTCGCTGATTCGATCGAGCCTCACGAGAAATGCCTTGCATTTTAGATATTAATTTATTATGATGATGGTTCGTCAATGCCGTTGGCTCGTCGCATCGATCGTCATTTTGAGTGTCATGTATGTTTGCCTTAGCATGATGATATTTGTGTTTAGCCTTCTCGCGTACATCCAACTTATAAAAGCCCTCAGTACGTGCGCAACCGGTTTTGTGTCTCATGAGCTCGTCGTCCTTACGCCGTTTTTTGGGAGGCGGCGGCCAGAACGCTCTGTCCGTGGTGCAGTGATTAACCCAATGAGTATTATTCAAAAACATACTGAAATTACAAACAATAAAGTTGATTAGAAGTTTGCTTGAAATCTAAACAATAATTGACTTACGCATATGGCTCCTTTTGCAAATGCTCAATATAGCTCATCTTGATGTACTTAATGTCCTCCAAATCAATGCCTTTTGTCAGGAAAGTGTATAGGATTACCATTTCTTCATTTTGATCACGAGGATTGAACATTTCACACGGAACAAAGTTAGAGGTTTGGCGAGCTAATTCTGAAAGTGTATTCTTCATTGACTCCATTTTCGTCGTTTTATTAACCTGTCGTACAGAAAAATCTTTCTTCTTCTTTTGCGCTCGAACAGAGTCCTTGCGAGGCCTTCCCGGTCCAGGCCTAGCAAGCTGCATATTTTCCGCCTCTTTTTTATTCTTAGAATCAAATTGGTCCGCTGAAGCACCGGTTGCAAATGAACCTTGTGCTTGCGGAGGCAAGGAATAACAATGTTCTAATGCCACTTGACTAGCTTGGGACGCTTGACTGGATCCACTGTCTGAAGAGACAGGAGACTCTTTTCCATTATAAATTCGTATTTCCTCATTCTGTTGAGTGCCAGATTGATCTGTTTTAAACACTTCCGTTTTTAGATCGGTGTCTGTTTTCGCAGTAATTGTATTTTCAATCTCAATCGACTGATTATTAGTACTTTTAGTACTTTTCAAACAAATATCAGTCAGTACTGTGCTCAAATAGTGTTTTCCTTCGACGTCAGCTTCTATAACATTTTTCTTGTATATTTTTGCTTCTTCCACTAATAATTTTGCACCGGGTGTTGGAGGCAGTTTTGTAATATCAGGTGTGTCAGGCATCTCAAAGCTAGACATTTTATCAATATCCAAATTGAGATCAACGTTTAATTTATTGTCTGTCTGACTTGATTTTTTCTGTTGTTCCTCTAGAAATTCGCGCTCGATTTGAGCCATGTATTCTGTGTTTCGGCGTCTCTTCTCCTGATACTCTCGTTCTTCGTCCGAATCACTATAAATACGATCGTACCCGAAGTGAGATTTTGCTGTACCTAAACCATCAGACTTTGATACAGTTTCTTCGTTGTAATCCGGTGGCGGAACAGGTGTAGGAGATCGGCGGGATTCACTTTCCATTTTATCATCCGTTTTCGATTCTCTTTCAAATGTTGAAGCCATTTCCGTTTCGTCCATGTCAAAGCAACTATCCTTGCTTATGTCTTCGAGGTCAGACGGAATGGATGACATGAGATTAGGCTTAGAGCTCGTAAATATTTTACTCTCTGTTTTCTGATCATCATCTTCATCAGTATCAGAGTAAATGTCAATTTTTTTCAAACGACTTCGCTTGGTTGACGAAATTCGATTTATTGATTGATTCTCTTCCTCAGAATCCGAATATACATTTAATATTTTTTCATCGGAAGCTTTCAAGTCACGTCTACGCTTCTTGGTAAACTTGTCCCTTTCACTTAAATTGCTGGGTGGGATGTCTTCATCAAAGCTTTCATCATCGCTACTCCTGTCATTTTCTGCTCTATTGCCCATATCGTCAGCATCATTTTCACCATCGCTATTGGAAGACGACGACGTAGACGACGAGAAGAAACTTGAGGCACTTCCCTTTCTTTTCAGTCGTATATTGTTTGATGTAAGACGTAATTTTCCAATATCCCTTTGCAAGGTGCGTCGTTTTAAGCTAAGATTTTGAGCATCGGAACTGCTCAAATTTGAATCATCTTTATCTGAATCCGAACGCTGTACCATTTCTTCTTGGTCACTAAGATCCCGTTCCAATTTATCGGGAACGGGACTAGGATGTTTGGGCACACGGCGGAATGATGGCAATTTAGGCATTGCAGCTCGTATACCAATACTGGTGAAGGACTGAAAGTCTGGAATTTCTCTTTGCGTATTAATTAATTGATTAATGTCGGGCGGTTTCTCCTGCAATGTTTGTTTTTCCGCTGCAATGTTATTAGTTGTACCGGTCTCGGCAACTGCTGGCAATTGTTTTGTACGCGCTTTTGCCGTTTGCTCATCCCACCAAGCCTCAAAATTCTTGAAAGCTGTCATTTCAATCATGCGTTTGTTAACATCTCGTTTAAGGATTTGTTTCAGTTCTTCAACAATAATATTCATAACCTTTTTAACGTTTTGCTTCACCTCATCATTTTGATCCGGCTGGGTATGCTGATAACCATATGTTTGCATGTACGGATCTAAATTGAATGAGTCTGCCGAAACAACTCCCGGGAGGTATGGTGCTTGCATATACGCAGGGTTCGAAAAGTACTTTCCGGTCAATCCGGAGCTCGGTGCTATGGCAGATGGATAGTGACCATATCCATATGCTGATTGATGATAGTAATAATTATTATGATTTGATGCATGGGGATCCGTATATCCTGCAAACATCATTTTTGATGCCAGTTGGGTTGACGGATGTGCAGGTTCTTTTACCGTTTCTTCATGTGATGATAAACTTGACAAAGACATGTTATCGTCATTGTTATCATTTGCTTCAGACTTTTCAACAGGGACCGGAATTTCTTTCTTAATCAGAATGTCGTCATCACTTGATATATCACTAGCGCCTTGCTGCTGTAAAGCCGAAAGAGTTTTATCAGTTCCATGCTTGTTCTGGTTGCTATTTGAATGATTCGAATCCCCTGCCTCATTGATATCATCAACCTTAGGCTTTTCTGTTTCAGAATCACTGCTATCCATTTGCAGAAAAGGTGGAGCATTTCCAAAGGTCTTGCCTTTAAATATGAGTGCAATACGTGTGTCCAAGTCAACGTTCTCTGAGTTTGTCTCTGATTCGGCAGCTGTCTCGAGATTATTATTCGACTTGCTTGACTGTGCTCGTTTTGGTGATAGTTGTTGCTTTACACCAACTGCCTCCGTTGAAGGTGAGATATCTTTTGAATATGACTTTGATGGTGGAGGTTGTGGATCGTCCCAGTTTTCTTCCTCTTCTTGGGGCGGAGGTGGTGGCGGTATAATCTGTGAGTCTGGTTGTGGGGCGGGCCACCTTCGGTGGGAGCTGCTCCATGATTGAACACTTTCACTCATAGTGTAGCTGTAATGGTTATATCCATAATCAGACGGTATATGGTTAGGTGCCGGAATGCCAGAATAATATTGTTGGTTTTGAAACACCGATGAGGTACCATTTTCGTCTTCAGTGCATTCATAGCGTATATCGTGCTTAGAACTAATGCGCTCCTTCCGATCACCATCAATATCCATAGATCTGTCACGATCTCGTTCTCGGTAATCCCGTTCCTTTGACGAACTTAAGCGATGATCTCTTCTGTCCCTCATCCGATCGCGAGAATGATCTCTTGATCTATTGCGCTCTCGAAATTTATCTCGTCCTTTCGAGCGAGAATAATCATATGACCTTGTGTCTCGATCTCTGTCTCTAGAACTATATAAACGATCTCTGCTTATGTCCGGACTCCTCTCCCGTGATCCTCGAGAGTAATAATGGCGACCATGACGTGAACTACTATACTTATGACGTGACCCACGTTCCCGATCATAGCCTCTTTCAACGGAATGTCGTGGACGTTCTTTTATAAGACGATCTCGATCTCTATGCCGATCTCTTTCCACTTCGCCATACGCGGAACTCTTGTAATAAGCGTTATAACCACTTCCAGAAACTAAATGTGGATCTTCCTTTTCTGTGTATTCATGAAAATGTTCATTTACCGAAATATGCGTTGTTGTCGAATGAGGTGTGATCGGTGCCAATGGTCGAGGTGCAACAGGATTTGTAATATTATCAATTGTTTTCTTTAGAACGGCACCAAAAGGATCGCAGAATACGTTTAATATCTGTAACATACGAAAATGAATATGATTGTTCACTATATAAATAGCTGCAGACAGCTAACTGCTGCACACCCTCAACAAACTATAAAATCACTTTGAATCCATTACCTTTCCCATCACTGATTTCTGGTTATACTTTTCGACAAACTGTCGTGCTCCTTTGGTGCTTTCAAAGACAATACGCGCGATGCCCAAATGCTTGTTTGTCGTTGGATGATGGTATATAGTTATTTCATCCGTGGGCCCGCACTTGTCTAGAAGGCTAGAAAGGAACTGCTTGTCGATATTGTCATTTAGATTAACAACCGTAACTTCAATTGCAGGTGGCTGCCCGACATAATCGGAATCGATCACAAATCTATAAATATAGGTCATATGCTATTATTTATCAAGGTCCAAAATCAAAATAAAAAATGGCGCCTTACCGGGGTACAACCAGCATTAAAGGTTCGACAGGCTTGGCTCGAATTCGAATAAGTGGATTTCGTGGATCGCGAGGTGTTATTGTTGGGTACGTCGGGTCTCCAGGAACAACGCCGTCATACCGATATAACTTGGTACCACATTTCAACAACTGCGGATCCGCTAATAATTTGAAGTTCCTATGCATCCTCGTTTGGCACGCAGGATTAAAGACATTACCATCACGATAGCCCTGCATCGTGATGTGCGTCTGTTCGCCCGATGATTCTCCGCCATTAATTAAGGTATGGTTATTGCTGGTATCCATAGAATATCAGTTGGCCACGTTTACGGGATCTTTTACAAAATAGATATAGAGCTACATCAGCAAATTTGCTTTTGGCATATTTAAAATATGACCACTCAAAATACAGTCAATATAAAGAATATGACTACTTTTGTTACTTACTTTGCAAGTAGTTTAAGACGACTACCGACTATGTCGGCGGGCACGTCCGGGTGTGTATAAACAGGAAAGTAAAAATGTTTGCGATTTCTTTATTTCCACGAACAGAACCTCCTCGAATTCATGCAACGTAGTAATTAATGCTGTTTTATCAGCATTATAGCGATTCCATTAAAAGAATATGAAATTCCCGATATATAACAACATATGAAGTATTAAAACACTGTCGAATAAAAAATACACAGAAAAAACGAGGCCTCGAAGGGGTGTAAAATCAATGTTATCGATGTTTTTATTCATTTTGATCGATTATTATTTAACTATGGTTCTTAGCACACTCCTCTTCTTATAAAATATATAATCCTCTTATTTATTGAAAACCACTTTTATTGTTTCAAAATATAGCAAATATTAGATTATTTAGATTGATTTTAGCAATTGTTGACACAAACAGTCAATAGCATCGGCGTTGTAAAAATACTGGCCTGGCACTTAATAGACATATGTGAATACGTTTAAATAGTATGGCAACGCCACTAATAAAATATCCGTATTGATTGCATCACAAGTCAATCGACAAAAAGGTTTTAACTTATTTTTCATAATTTAATTCATTGATTTTTGTAAGTTTGCCGCTAGCGCTTATTTAAATTTCATATAATCTGTTTCAATTGGTCTTGTTTTTGATCACTCACGGATAATTCACGAATTCGCACATAAACATCGTGGAAAGCAGCGGTCTCTCCCTATTAATAAGTTCAATTTTATATTCATACACATTCACATACTAATAGTGTCTAATATTTGATTTGAAATATTTGTCACTAGTCAGATTTGTATTTCAAGTCTTACGTAATTTTCAGCATCTAAAATGGCCTTTTGGAAATTTTTCGGACTTCCCGTTGTTCGGGCTGATGATGATGAAGCGGAGCTGGTTGACCCGCAAGCCGAACTTAGAGTAAGTAAAATTTTGTCGTTGATATGTATTAAAAACTAAACACAATTAATTTGCATTTTGCAGGATAAGTGTCAGGCTAAGGGCCATATTGAAAGTCTATACAACAAATATCAGGAATGCAACGACCGTGTGAACAGTCGCTCAAAAACAACTGAAACATGCATGGAGGAGCTGTTCGACTACGTCGCTGAGTTGGATCATTGCGTTGCACACAGTCTTTTCTCAAAGCTCAAGTAGTTAAGCAATAAGATGATCATATGTATTATTGTCTAATATACTGCGCTTGAGTAAAATTGTTGAAGATTCTAAGTAATGGAATTTAACTTATTTATATAGTCAATCCATTGACAAACTAAATACTTAGCGCTCCTTTTGATTGGCCTATTGATGGAAATAGTTTGTGAATGTGCAGAAAATTGTGTGTCATTCGATAATGACTATACTGTATGATAGTATTTAAATGTGTAGCAATTTAAAAGTGCTTTGATTGTGCCACCTCTTAAAAATCGGCTTGTAATATCTGTAGCTGTGTTAGTTTCTCTTCACTAAGCGCACGCACAATACACACAATCAGTGTGCATTTCTCTCAAATAACAAACTTGCACTTGTCTTTATGTTGGATGTCTTAAAAGCACAGCAGGACCTGAAATATGTTAAGCTGACGATACTAAGTGTGTTCCACGGTATCCATACCACGTGCATTATTCTCATTTGCACCAGACACATGATCAGCTCCGTCTCATTTGCTAAGGTGAGGTATATACCTCACATGACGTCACATATGTGACGGCATGACTGATAAGATGTCTCTTCAAAATTTGAGTAGAATCGGAATATTGATCTAAGATAGGCTAACGATTATATAGTATTTTAAGGAATAATATTTCTTAAAATATTGGAGGCTCATTTATGCCCTTCAAACTCTTGTATATATTCTTCTCTTTAGCCCCGATAAGATACCTACGAATTTCAGCTCAAGTCCACACAGCTCGACAAACAACTATATATTCTTAATGTGGCCAAAGAGCTCTATTATTCCCACTATAAAGCCTGAACATCGAAGTAAGTATTCTTGAAGGAAGACGAAGAACCAAAGAAGAGCAGATAATCATGTGTACAGCAAGATAAAAGCAAAAAGTATTAATTTCAGTAGATGATCGGGTTTAAGAACTGAATCTGAGAGACGCAGAAGTTGAACCAGTGTAAAAAAAGAGCATCATTCAATCACAGATTTGACAACAACCACTTTTCTATTCTGTCTAGCATTTCTCTTTAAATATGCATGATTTCTATATCTGTATATATATCAGATGATAGTTTTATTAATAATAAAATGCAAAAATCTATATCAATTGAAATCGCATCAGCGAATGATTTCATTATGCTAACTTCAAATCCTGTTTTCAAACTTCCCTTGTCTTTTCCTATAAGCAATATAATTATCAGTTTCGTCTGACCAGTGGCTATAGGATAAACACTTTAATAATGTTGTTAGTGTATAAAAAATGTATTCTAATTATCTTGATATTTTAGACAAACCAATCTACTTGACTATACAGCATATATATCTCAAGCCTATATAAGTATCGTCCAAAATGTATATTAGTTGCGTTAGGCCCTGACATGTAGTCTAATAATATACTATCTTCTAAATAATGGACAATAAATATGAGCGTGGAATAAATATAAATGGAATAAACATATTAAGAAATAATTCCATTTATTACATTTTATATTATTACAAGTAAAATGTAAACAATTTTTTTTCTTGTAAAAACATGAATTCTTATTATTTATTAATGCCAATTTTAATTTGTTTATTATTTACATATGATTTACAGTGTGCGCTGAAACAAACTTCAATTCTTGACTCAGTAATGAAACAAACAGAATATTAGTTATACAGGATAGACATGTATGTGTATATGTATGCATATAGATAGGATTTAATAATCGTTTTCGTTAATGTATTATATATAATATAATATCTCTAAGATGCTTATAGTCCGGTTGGTATAAACTGCCTTTTAAATCTGAAAAACAGAGAAACAAAATAGAAAAATATTAATGTATTCCGAATTTGTTTTATAGTTAAGAATATATAAGTGCAGCGTTACGAGATGTCAGTTTTCCCTAACAACGATTTGTTTTGTTTGAAAACTTCATTAAACATAACGTTTGCTTAACATCGAAGCCCCTTTATAATATTTCACACTAATAAATCATTTTATTTCGTAAGTATAATAAGCCAAGAGGCATTTGCTTTAACGTAATATCATAATGATTCATTAGAGATTTGCACATTTCAAAAATAAATTCGGGCAAGTCTAAATTGATGAATCTGATCAATTAACATATATGAATAGATCTCTAAAAAGGCAATCATCTGATTTAATACACAGATGACCAACATTCATACGGATGTGCATTTCAGTCTTGTGCATTTTAGTTATAAGAAATATACATACCAAATACTTTTTTATCATTATTCCGAAAGCAAACTACAAACTATTGCTCATTATTTTAGCTGCCTCCATGAAGTACATCGAAGCACACCTTGCAAACTCTTACGGGTTTATTAATGCCAAACTTGACAATGGGTACATCGTTGTTGGAACACTTGGAACACAAAACTCTTCCACAGTGTCGACTGGAGAGAAAAGAAAATACAGAAATAATATTAATTACATTGCATATTATAAAATAGAAGTGTATCCTGTTAAAATAAAAATAACATATTTATTTGAGGTATATATATGCAATATAGTAATATTAGTTACCAATGGTGCCTTCTTATGGTCAGCGAAAACTTTAAGCCACACTCTTGGCACAGCTCGGACTCTGCCCACGGCGACTCCTGAGGCAGTTGGTCCAACAATTTAGTCAGCAATTGATCTGTCGCTAGTTTGTAATTGAAAATATTGATTCCCTCTCGGTTCTGAGCCCCAAGACAAGCGCCCGCTTTTACAAGAACCTTACAAAGTGGAGCTTGTCCTCGCATATACGAGAGGAGCAGGGGTGTGTTGCCGTCCATGTCGGGCACGTTAATCGGATACTTCGGCATGCACTCAAGAAACAGTTCACAAATGGCAGCACCGGAATTGTCTTCGCCAACGCGACACAGCTCGTGCAACGGATTGCGGCCCCTCGCATTGGTTGCCTCCGCATTTACGCGTGATTCGGTCAGCAGCTCTCGGACTATCGCCAGCTGACCCCCGTGGACCGCAAGGTGCAAGGCATTGTTTCCATCAGCATCAGTTGCATCGAAATCGGCATTATTTTGGATCATCGCCGAAACTGCCGCAAGATTTCCACGCTCGATTGCTATATGAAGCGGCATTTTCTGGACAGCATCTCGTTCGTTGATTCGAGCGCCGGCTAGTATTAAATTACGTATAATCATTTCGTTTTTCGACGCAGCTGCTAGATGAAGTGGAGTGGACTGATAGGCGTCGTGGACGCGTGAATTGACATCTACTTGAATAGCCAACAAAAAGAGAACACTTTCTAGGTCATCTTTTAATATAGCCATGTGCAGGAAATTGCGTCCACGATTATCCATTATTTCGGCTGCATTTGGCAGCCTCTCGAGTATGCGCTGAGCGGCTTTGTGATTACGGATGGCCAGAGCAGTCGCAAAAGGCGTCAGACCGGATCTATCCCGCAGCTTCAGATCTATCCCGGGATGGCACAACAGGATATTTATAATGTCTTCATGCTGGTTTTCTATAGCTATGTGTGCTGGAGTTTTGCTTTCAGCGTCTACAGCGTTCACATTGGCGCCGTGATCTATAAGTGCCTGCACAACCTTTGTCAGACCCCATTGACAGCAGAGATGCAAGGGCGAGGCTTTGTCACGCGCTTCGTCGCCACCCTCATCATTTGGACCCGGCTGACGCGGCGAGTCTAAGTCGCATTGATTGCGAACGAGAAACATTGCTGTGGCCTCCTTGTTTTCATCGATGGCCCGGTGCAGCAGCGTTTGCTGGCAGCCCTCAGGTCCTTGGCTCCAGCAGTCGGTGTCAACACCATGGCGAACTAAAATTTGCGCAACATCCTCAAATCCCAATTCTAGAGCAGTCCATAAAGGTGAATCTCTTGAGCTGTCCAAGGTACTGAGGTCCACGCCCTTAATGCATAATACGTCAACAACCTTGGGCAGGTGGGAATCGATAGCCAGTTGAAGGACAGACTTTTGATCACCTAAGTATACAAGAAAATATATGAATGTAAAGATCACATGCATTAATAATTTTCGACGGCTACACCAATCTAAAATCCTTAGATAAGAAATTGCGTAATATGATATAGTTTACCTGTAAGTGCGTTAATTTCGGCGCCTTGGTCCAGCAGAAAAACGGCTTTCTCGCTGTCGCCGCTGATTATAGATTGATGCAACAAAGTCAAGTCCTGTCCATTACGCGCATTCACATCAGCGCCGCCAGCGATAAGTATTGGAGCTAATTCAATGCGATTAAGGGCTAAGCATAAGCTTAGAGGCGTGTCGCCATTAGCATCCCTGCCGTTGAAATCGACTTTTTCAGAATTGTTTTTGCTGAAGTTAACAAACGTCTCAAGAATCTCCTGAGCATTTTGTTCCACAGCTATGTGTAGGGGCGACTTCATATTGCCGGAAGTCGTTTGTATATTGGGGGCAGCGCCTGCATCAAGAAGCTTAGCCACAAGATTCGGCATGTTCTTTTGGACAGCGATGTGGATGGCAGAAAAGCCAGAGTTGTTAAGATGCTCAAGGTCAGCAAAGTCAGTCAAAAATATTGCAGCCTCTTCAAAATCTCTTCCACCCATGGCAAGCACTTGCAGCAGGTTGTTATTTGTCCCAGACTTTAATGGATTCGGGTTGGCGCCCATCTTCAGGAGTTTCGCAGCAAGGTTGACGCTTTCCTTATTAAATGGAATCAACGTCAATTCAAGAGGACACTTCTCATCATTGGTACGCAAGTTAATGTCAATATTGGGCACATCAAGTAATAGCTCCACCATAGCCTTATTTTGAGATGTGATTGCAATATGGAGCGGCGTTTGGCCTTGGCTATTTTGAAGGTTTACATTAGCCTTGCGCTGTAATATTTTCTTGCCGATATCAATCATCTGGGATACATTTTCATGATTTTCGTTAGTTTCGCCATAGCTGCATACAATATGAAGGGCTGTGTCGGATGACGACCTTAAAAAATAAAGTATGTGGTTAATTTATAATATTTAGCAAAGGTTCTTATGCAAATTACCTGGACACTAGATCAACAAGGCAGTTGTGATTTAATAAAAAGTCTGCTGCAAAACTATCAGCTTTTTTTACAGCATCTATAAGAAGCGTAGATCCCTGCTCGAAGTATATTTATTCAGATGGTTTACTACACTTAATTTATAACTTACCTTGGCATCGTAGGCATTCACATTTGCAGATCCATTATTTACCAGAGTCTGGGAAATTTGAACACTTTTCGCCGACAATGCCATCTGCAGTGGTAACTGTCCATGTTCAGACAAACTATTCACTAGTTCGGGCAACTGAAAGAAAACAAAAGCAAAATGAAAGTGTGTAATTTATTTATTTTTAATTAGTTGAATTAAATAAATCTAATTAGCCTAGACAATTGACTGTCTCAAAAATAATGTTAATATAACAAATATTTATTAGAAAAATTCAATTTTTTTGAACTTATTCTTTTCTAGACCTCAAAAAAGCAGGAAAATTATTTGAAACTAGAACGTTGTGATTCAGATAAAAATATACAAATATTTTCCAATATATCTTCAAAATTCCACTGCAATCTAAAGTCAAAACCAAGCGTCTATCAATATACATAGATAAAAAAGTAGCTGATTCCACAAACACCAATATTTAAGGTATCCTTAGTCTGAGTACCCTAAATACTTTTTGCCTTTTTACCTATACTTTATAGCAATAAATGATAAATATAATATTAGACTCGTACCAAAATTTTCAAGGATATGGAATGATCTACTTTTTGGCAAGAATAATATATAAAATGATCAGGACATCAGGCTCATCCTGAAATGCGATATAAATGCAGGATTTACTTGTTGACGTTGTCGGTCAATTCCTCTACATGTACAACTTATAAATTGAATCTAATATTTAAATGATATTCCTCAGTGGTTATATTTGTTAAAACTTCTATATAATTTATTACAGATTTAAATACAGACTCTGTTGTTGTTTGTGCAGCCCTAAAAGATGTGAAACTGTGACGTCAGAAATTCTCTGCGCATCTGAAAGTGACCATTTGTTTGCGCTCTGCATTCTGCTTTGAGCCTCTTTCGTCAGTCTTTAGTTTTTCATCCAATGGAGCGGGTGTAGATTTTCTCCGTTGTCGTGTGTTATTAATATTGTTCTGTTTTTAAGCAAATGACTAATGTTTAAACAAAATTAGCAGAGAAATGAAATAATATGGAGAAAATATTATAATTCAATATAGAATAATTTCATATATGTGAATTTCGACACACACACATTAAGCGTGCATGGGTTTCTTCATTTGCACCCACAAATCGAAATAGCAAAACTTTCTCCAATACCGGCAATTGTTTAAGATTTATTTATTTTTTGTTCGYATTTCTGTCTACGTATGTATGTATGCGTATGAATGAATGGGGCAACATTTTGGTTGGCCGTGTATTGCAAGAGAAAATTATAATCAACTTTGTATGTATTATTGTATAAACATATACTAACATAATACATACATATAAATACGCACAATGGCATTAAAACTAAATCATATATGAGGAAAGTGACAGGAACTAATACATTTACAACCGTACATATGTGAAGACCATGTGTATGTAAATCAATGTCACAACACAACACATATGACTGAGTGTACCTACTAAATACCATATACTAAATATTTATAATGATGGACGTTAAGGCGCGCAACAATGGCTTTGCTTACCACCTGTTCCAAGGCGTTATTTTACTTGCTGTTGCTTTAGATTTAGGTTGGTATTTTTTGGTATTATTAAGTACCACTTAGATACATGTATTAAAAATAGTGAAAAGAAAATAATTAAAATAGTAGAATGCGTAAGCTCGTAAATTAATATAAGTAGTAGTGTAGTAAATCTTTTGAATGCTTGCATATATTTTTACAATAAGTATCAACAAGTAAGTACCGGATGTAAACTGACTGCAGAATACTCGCTGAGAGTGCTTTAACAGATTTGATTAAATAGCTCATTTCTATTTTAAAAAAATCTTTGGAGCCGCTCTTTAGAGTAGGTCAAAATGTAATTCATTTAATGACTCCAGCTATATCACTGTGCATGATAGGGCATTTCCTCATTTGCCACGCACCCACTGGAGGCAGCCCCATAATTTACATATATATATCTACTACGCAGACAGCGGTATACACGAGTGAATGTTCTTTATTTCAAGTCTCTCAATCAGGAAGGCAGATGGGCATGAATATTAAAAGGTTTAAGGAAATCTTGTGTGTCTGTATTATGATGGGACATTAAACAAAGCATTTATATACAATATACAATATGGAAGTAAATGGCATCTGTCCATACACCGAACGCATAAAGATAAGGATACAATTATTGAGCGCAAAACAAAGCAGCTCAAAAGTCATTCTCGAAGCAACGAGTTTTTTTTTTTCATGTAAAAATGTATTTAAATATACACATATTTATATGGAATTTCAATGCTTTCTATATGTACGAATTTATATGTATTATGAAATGTTATTAAAGATAAGAGCAAATCATGCAAAAGTAAACAATATGAATTCAAAGAGTCGGCCGTGATTCAACAAATCTTACTAATGCGCTCATGGAAGCTATTTATAAACTCTTAAGGTTCATTGTAAGATGGGAAATTTACTTTAACTATTTATGGTTTACGCCCCTAATAATTAAACTCATTCATTCGAAAGTAAATTATTATTATTACTTTCCTTATATTGCCCGATCAGGAAATAAACATCCAAAATGATTATGCCAACTTTTCGGTAATGAAATGCTTTCATCACTATTGGACCGTTATCTATCAGAAAGTACTCATGTACATATATACGCTTACTACATTCATAGGGGCACTCAAAATGTATATACATACTTGATGAATAAGAACGATTTTACTCAATCTTTTCAAAATTAATCTATTTGAGTAATGAATTGTTGATTCTAGAACTTTATCAATGACGCTCGTACTGTTAAGGCCACTTTTCATTGGGCGTGTCTCCTAAAAAATGTGTCGAAGCCGATGAGTACATAGAATGACTTATCTGCTAATATATACATATATAAATATGTATATATATATATATACATATTGATTTTGCACAATGTATGTTAAATTGCGCAAAATCAATAAGTAAATTCTGTCACTTTCAAAGAAATGTCGAACATTTACCGCTTGAGAAATTGGATTTTCATGCATAAGCCATAAAGCCGACTGATATACGAATGTTGCCGTATGTATGGGAATGGAATTCAAAACATCACATACTTTTGTATTTTAAGAATTTAGTTGGAAAAACTATATCTTCCATTAATATCAGCTCTTACGAAAGATTTTCTTTTAATAACGTCTAAGAAGGTCTATATTGACACACGCTTTTCTGAGAGCATCATCAATAATAATTATAACGTCGATTCGAGTTGCGAAATATTCGTAAATAGTAAATCAACATTCATATATAATAATAAAAAACAAATGACATTGCACCACTTATTTCAACTTAAGCTAACCTAATCTAGTTTATAATTAATAAATCAAAAATATTCACAAAATTGAAATTTTACAGCCACATGTTCAGAGAGAGAAGTCTTACAATGCTACAAGTGCTCAGTAACTGTGGAGAAGTATTTTGTTGATAATGCAACAATTGTTACCCCACTGTGCTCCAAATTCGAGGAGTCTGCACATTATGTTGCCCAGTGTCCATATTCGACGATGTGTTTGAAGACGATATCAACGCTGCACCTTCAAAATGGACAAAAGCAAGAAACCATCACAAGAGGTTGTGCTCAACAAAAAAACACAACTCAGGTGAATTGACAGTCAAAATATATATGTATAATTTATGAAATAACTATAATTATATTGTTTCTGCAGGTGTTTCGCAATAGGCAATGGGAGCAGGAGCACTTGGTGCAGGAAGTATATAAGGAAGAGTGCACGGAAATTCAGTCTAACTTCGCGGGATCGAAAATCATGCACTGCTACTGCCGCGGCGAATTGTGCAACTCAGCGAACTATTTTACTGCCGACAGAAAACTGATAAGCGCGACCATTTATCTATTCAGCGCTATTTTGCTGTTCAATAATATATAATTCGAAATTTCACACTCAAATACATATATTTAAATGTACCGCGTTCGGCTTTAAGTTAGAAGTTGTTGTGATAATTTGAGCATAACATAAATATTTGCTATGGCCTTTTGTGATAAAAAAAAAATTATAATAATAATACAAATGCTGCCCAGTCGTCTTTTATCAAGATTAACAAACAATTCGAAGATAAAGTTTATAACATGGTATATTCTTGTATACAAAACTAAAAACAAATCTTTGTTTATCTGTTGTTAAAGCTACGATTGTACTACTCTTGAGTAAGCCTTTGAGAGGTACTTGAATAAATACTCAATGTAACTGAATTTTTTCTTTTTTTTTTTTCTTTTATGTTTTTTGCATTTACAGAGATTTATACACTTTATATTTCTGCTGATATTGATTAACAACTAGGGAAATTCTTAATTGAAATGTATAGCAAAGTCTACAAATCGAAAGTACATTTTGAATGTAAAAACGGAATTCTACAATAAATTGCAAGTGGAACCAGCAATCACTAAAAATTAAATACTGTTAGTAAAAGTCCGGTAATACTTTTGACAAGAATTTTTCCGTGATGAATTCGAAGCCTATAACACACCCCAAATATTCTTAAAAAAAAAAAAAAATAATGTGTTTTCCTTGTACCTTTGGCGCTTTCCCGTTATTTTGACAAGAGTCTATTATAGATTATCTATGATCTATTTTAAAGAATTTTTAAATAAGTTTTGATAGGGAGAGAATTTAAAATAAATTTACAGTGTTTCCAGGAAAAAACTCTTGAAATACATTAGGTATAAACTAAAAAGCGATAAGCTAAACTAATATCGCAAAAGTTTCTTAAATTTTCAGTTTCCATAGAGTTTTTTGTCACTTACCGAATTACTATTTTCCGCAAGGCATAAGCAAACGACATCTTCGCGCAAAAGTCGGACTGCTGAGTGTAGGGGATATTTGGTTTTGTTTTTGAGCATTTTGTATAGAAGCGGTCCAGACATGTGCTCGAAATCCTGTGCAGTTAGATCATCCCAGTGCGTGGATATAATGCCGGAGCAGTACTCAAGTAAGCTAGCCGCGCCCACTTCTTCGGCCACACAATAGAATCGGACACAAGATCGTACGCCCACAGAAGCCACTAGAGCTCTTTCACAAAGCCCGAGCAAGCCAGGTAAGGAAAAACGATGCGCCACTCTCAGCAGACCCAATGTCAATCGATCGTGCTGCAAATCAATAATATCTGTGTAAATCCAGCGTAGCAACGCTGTGGCTATATCCTCATCCAAGTCGCTCCAATCTAATTCCTTGGCAGTGGCTAATGTCTCGTTACGCCATTTGTCCGATCGGGCATGGAGTACGAATTTGTGGGCCGGCATTATTGTCCCATTGGAACTGGTCTTAATGTTCACATCGGAATATATGGAGCGTCCATATAAGGACGCCGTCGTCAGTGCCAGTCTTGATACAAAACTGCTAAATTCTCCTGTGGACTCCGGATCTGAAGTCGAGACAATAGCTTCATTATATTTTCGCTCCAATTCTACATAGCTTCGCTGAAGTTTCTTATATTCTTCCTTTAAAAGAGCAAGGTCCTTTTCCAATTTTGAAATTGAATCAACATCATTGCAACCTTAAAGAAACAGATTTTTTATTTTTATTTTCTGATTGTAATTGTGAGTATTGAATTACGCATTTACAAATGTACATTGCAATGCAATTTTCAGATACATTTGCCCAAAAAACATTACTGTTCATATCGCACCCACACACTAAACATACAGTGGTAAATATTCGCATGCACATTCCATTTAGTAGTGCGTAATGCAATACATACCCATAGTTACTATCTATTTTATTATAAAATCAGCGATATTTAGCAATAATTTTATAAACATCTGGCTTTAGACCAATTCGGCTTTCATCAATCTCGCTTAAGTTGCCCAGCTGTATCAAAATACTATTGAGTCATCGAGACAGCAAGTTATCGATTTGCATTTATTAAAGCGCAATCGATTAAATGTATTTGGTTTTGCTTTACAGTGTTTTCACCTCACACGTTTCGATTGAAGATAAATAAGACTCACTAACTAATGTAAAACAAATAAACAATTAATTATAGCATTTTCGCCGCATAACAATAACTATTGGGCAATTTCGGGACTAAACTAAGAACAACTTAATAGATTGATTTAAATATAAATAAGTATAAAAGGACCTCTCTCTTCCTAACCTTTTCATTGTTAGCAACATTGGTTAAAGTCCTCTATTGAGGCCTGATTCTTCAGCTCCATTTTTAATGTGATAAACAGCTCAAAACTGATGTCGACATAACCACCTAATAGCTATAAAAAGTGGAGTAGTTCAAAGCAATTTAAATAGTCATATTCTTAATATCCTAATTAATTTAATCTTATATTGTTGAAAATGGTATAGCAAGTTTAAGATATCTAGGACTTTCAACGATCCTAGTAACCAGGACTGCTTGTAGAGAGTTTAAAGCTTGCTGGATGGCTGGGTGTATATTTTGAGTGATAACTAAAATTTAGTACAGGCCGCAGATCTAATCCCTTAATTCTCAAATTTAAACACAAAATCGTGTAAATCTTATAAGACATTGAGTTGTGTCGGAGGCTGCTAGCCAAGATCGTTACGTGCTGAAAACATCAATTCTCTAAATGTACTAGAGCTACAAATGATATTATATCCCTGCCCAAAACACGCAGCGTTCGGTATATTTAGATATATGTGCATTTATTTACTTGGCGTATTATTAAAAATTGTGCAATGCCTAAGGACGAATGACATAAATGAAAAGTTTGTGTCTAATAGTATTAAAATTGTTTTACAACTACCAATCAAGTGTGAGAAGCTAGTGTTGTGAAATATTGCATTAATATTATTATATATCTAAATAATATTATTTACTAAGCTTATTAAATAAAGTAATTCGTTGTATGATTGTGCCACTGGTTGGTTGGTCCCAAAACTAATTTCACAAAATATCTTTGAATATTAAATTTAGATTTCTCAATTAATATTTAGCTGGGCCTACAATAAATGAAATTATTCAATTTATATTATTATCACCAATTTTATTATCAATTATGTTTATAATTATACTTAATAGACTCTCTTAATAAAGTAACTTATTATAGGTGACATTGCCCGTTGGACCTTTGGCTGAGACATCACAACATTCATAGACTTATCTGGAAATCGATCTTAAATTTGATATAACTTAATTACAGAGTCTAAAGCTTTTCAGTTTCTTAATTTTAGAAAACAAAATTAAAGGTTTTCCTGAATTTCCAACTCAAACGAAACAAGTGCGAACTCAAATTACATAAACATAAGAATAATGTTATTAGCCAATAAATTAATGGGAATTATTGTAAAAACATTCGCAACCGTTGAGTAGCAGTTTGATTTTGATATAAATTATTCTACACTATTTTGAATGCAATATTTTAAGTAATAATTAAGAGAAACCCGTTCGATCTTAATTACTTCACAAGATGATTATATTAAAGCTATTTTCAATGGAAATATATTTTGAACGGATAAAGCGATCAATGCGTAAAGCAAGCATCGTATATATCATATCAATTTAAGTAAATTTAAATATTTAAAATTGTATCTTTCATAAGCAAATTGTATTGAACTTTTTGTTATTTGATTATTTTTATTTTCTTTACTGCCAATTTCTTTTAGAAATATTAATTTAATTTGATTAGTTTAATTACAAATGTGGGTTCAAGCAAATGGTTATTTTTTTGCTATGCATATCAATGTTTTTTAATGTACATTTGTAATTTTATATTTGACAATAGTCGCTTTTCAGAGAGTTGAATATGGGCTTTGATTAAATGCATTTTTATACAGAATAAATCAATATAATAAATTTACCTACTGATATCTGATTCTTTGAAATCTATTCATCCATTATTTTAATAAATAGGTCATGTAATATCATCCCAGTATATGGACTCTACAGCGATCTGATACAATTCAGATAGTTCCTAAGTTATACTAAAAATATCACAATTCAAATTTAGGCATGCTTTCTAATGTCAGCATTTGAGCATGTGAAAAAAATGAAAAGTTTTTACTATTTTAAAACAGGTTTGGAAATTACAAAAGCTTGATTAAATTTCTACAGTTTTGTTATGACAGATATGGCAAAACTCAAATGAATCTGTATATTTCGATATATATCTTAATAACTTATGGTTTTGTGTTTTCATAGCATTTTTGAACCTATTTGTTGCAGTCCTTATATAGATGAAAACTTATAGGGTTATAAATTCGAAATAAATTTAAAATTATTGATTTGATTTCATCATACAACAAAATTTTATAATACAGTTACAACTGCACTTTGAATTAAGGACTTTGACAAATTTCTTAAACATAATTATAATACATTATAAAGATATCAACGACGGTAAAAGTTAGGAAAATATAAATTAAATCTATATAACCAATTTTTTGTTTTTTGTTTTTAATATTTAACTTAGTTGATTTTTAGATTTAAGACCGCATACAGTATCACACAGAAACAATAATTTTTGTTTTTACCTGATTAGATTTGATTAGACTGGATATTGTATATATTAACTATACAAAGTACATGCATGTATATATATTCAATAACAACAATTTGTAATTAATTTACAAGAGAGAATGGACGAAGGCACTAGAAATATATATATATATTGACAAAAAACAATTGGATCCGTAATACATTTAAACTCCTGGAGCCTGCAAAAAAAATAACCCTTAATTTATAAAGTGAGATAACAAAACTTAACAGAGCCTACCGAGCCAGAAGTTTGTTGACAAATCATATTTGCAGAAGACGTAATAACTATTTTCAATTAATAGCTAACATGGGAATTAAAATATATATTAGTATTATCAATGCTTGCAGGCATTGGGTGTGTGCGAGATATGTTTCTAATTATACATACAATGATGGTTCAATGCATTTACTTAACTTTCTATACAAATTTATTGCCTGCAATAAAAAGCCGAATCGAGCCAAAGTGATCGATAATATATATTATACATGTAGGAGTACGTATTTTTACCATTAATGCCTTACACCTGACAAACCCATGATACCCTATGAAGGGCATATTGTATTGCTGATCAAGAAACACGCTTTGTGCATTTTATGTATGATTAAACAATTTTCCCTAATTATATTTTGTAGCTAAAAATGTGCATATAATTAAATGTGTTTTTCGGTCCCTGGTATTATTAATATCATTGGCTATTTGATTAACATTTTTCGCATTTGATTAAGTTTCTTCATTTTTATGGCTAGAACAATGTTCAGTCAGCGACGGAAGTACGTTATCCATCGATGGCTCCCTGTAATCAAATACAGAAATTATTTTAAAAAGAGAAATAAATAAAATTGTACGTGTTTTACCTGTCCAATGGTATGTGGTACGACCCAGGTGCTGAATTGGATCTACCAGCTTTGACAAACTTCTCAAGTCTGGAACCGCCTGGCTGGGGAGCCCTTCCGGAGATGCCCCTCATAAAGGGGTTTACAAAGGAGTGATTTTTGAGCATCGTTTTGATTAAGATAAGCGTATCAAGCTTTGGAATACTGCGCACAACAGAATTAATATCTTCATCGTCCACTTGTACCAGGCAGCAGTTTTCGTCTTCAGTTGGACAGACATAAGATCCGTTACTGGTCACCCACGGATGCATCTAAGAATACAGTTTTAACACATATATATTTCTCTTTACCAGTGCTCTTGGTCTACCTTTAATTGTGGCAAAGTTATTCGGTTTGCTGGATCCTTTTCAAGCATGCGCAAAATGCAGTCTTGCAATTCGTCGCTGATTTTTGGCTGTCCTGGAAATACCACTGGATCGTTTCGTATTTTGTCATACAACAAGGGTACAGTGTTAGCTATAAATGGAACGTTTCCATAAACCAGGGAATATAATGTTGCTCCCAAAGCCCAAATATCCGCTGCCCGACCGCAGTACACATTCTATTTTAAAAGAAAACATATTTGAACACATTCTGATATAATATTTTTCTAATTGCAGACCTTGCCCAGTACAAGGGTTTCAGGTGCTCGAAACGCTGGTGTTCCACCTGTCGCTCCATTACTCATTGTAGCATCCTCTCCCAGAAACTCATTGCAAACTCCCAAATCAGCTATCTTGACATGTCCACATTCGGTCAACAACAAATTTCCAGGTTTAATGTCCGCATGGATAATCTTCTGATAGTGCACTATAGACAAGAGATTAGCGCACATCCAGAGGTACCACCGGTTTCCCATACTTACAATATTCTAGTCCTAGTAAACAGTCTCGAAACACGCTCAGCGCACGCTCCTCTGACAATGGTTTGTCCGTGGGTATGGAAAGAACTTCACCCTTTTTAACCAGCTCAAAAACCAGATAAAGCGAGTCCTCCATTGGATCATCCAGCACTTCCACTAGCTTGACAACATTTGGATGATCGAGTTTCTTTAACACTGCGATTTCTCTATAAACCCGATCCAGCGGAGATGTTGCTTGCTTCGGACCGCGACGCATGAACGCAGCTTGTCGCAACAGACGCTTCTTAGAGAGAATCTTCATAGCGTAATGTGTCGAATCCTCTTCAGAATAAGCCAGCTTCACAAGACCGTATGAACCCTGCCAATGAAAACTATTTTAAGCAATCATTTTGTCAACAACTTAGATGTCAAATACCTGTCCTATTTGATCCAAAAGCTTGTATTGATTTAGTTGAAGGAAGCTTCCAGATTTCTCAATAGATATGCGTCGGGATTCACGTAGTGGAGGTCTACGTCGTACTGATCGAGGACTTCCGAAGGGACTGCCATATGGACTATATGGAACATTCGGATAAATTGGCCGAGAGTCTGTGCTTGGAAACACTGCTGTCGCAATGTTTGGGCGGTGTGTTGGACGCTGACGTATTTCTCCAGTCGATCTGTTCAAGCCGTCGCCTTGACCCTGCTCAACATTCTCGTCGTTTGACTTGAATTGGCTCTCAGCAGTCCTATGTTCCGTGATATTAGGAAGAATTCGATTGTGTAACTGTTGATCAATATTCAAGCCCGTACAATCCTCATTGTATAGGTCCAGGGACTGGGATTTAAGCAGAGCGGGAGGACCCTGTTTGGAGCCACAAGATTCAACGGATTCATTTCTGGACCCTGAAGACTCTGCAACGCGTACGGTTATGCTCTGAGAAACTGTGCTTTCCTTTACGAAATTGTTTTTGTTTGTGCTTTCAGTATCGTGATTTCCAACGTTGGCAGGCCTTTTGTTTTGATGCACCTTGCCTCCGTTAAATTGCATATTTGGCTTCTTAATATCAGTGGAATATTCCCGACTCAAATCTTCAGATTCAATATGCATTCTCTCTAACTGATTGTCCAACAGTATTGTTGACTTTGTATTGGTCGTTTCGGGTCTTTCGGGCTCACAACCTTGCAGTAATTCAACAATGATAACATCGTCGTCATCATCATCACAGCTATAACTAGCAGCCTTTTCTTTATCGTGTGCTTGAACATCTTCCTTTTCTTTCGCCTGGTTAACAGTTTCCAAAGTTCTGGCCGGATCTGGGACGCTAAGAATTGCTGCCTTCGTAGTATTCAAGTCTGACATAGTGTGATTTTGTATGTGCGCATAGTTGCATTTAGAATGGGGTCTCCTAGTTCCTGAAAAAAAAAAAAAAAAAAAAAAAAACCCAAAAGTATATCAATTAAACTCGTAAATATATATACGTTAAATATTTATGGAATTTGTTAAGAGTATAAAAATATCTTTGTGAACTCTTTTTTATTTTTATTTTACCTTTATAATTCCGTCTATCAAAGAACTTTTAACTCAGGTAATTACATATAAATTCGTATCAGTAGATATAAAAATTATATGCAATTACTACAGACTCAATAGATATTGTAATGTTCTTTCCTGATCAACCTCTAGCAGCAGAACCATTTCTGAATTTCGAAACACACATTTATATAGTCTTCGGGATGTTTAAGAATTGTGTTTATGTTTACTTTTATTCTGAAAATAACTTTAGCCAAACTCTTTAGCTCATTAGCTAGTTTCATTATTTTTTATTGCCTTCACCTGGGTTTTTGTGAATGAAACAAAATTTTTATTTTTTTTATGAAACCAGACATTCAGTTTTGTTTAATTCGCTTTTTATTTTAAAATCTTCATGATTGTATTTATGATTATATTTTTGCTCTTTTCTTTGTTTAAATTAAACTGTAGGCGGAAAGTGTATCCATATATGTACATATATGCATATAAAACATATATAAATAGCTTTTAAATATCCTACCTATTAGTCTGAAAAGTGGGAAAGTTTAGTTTCATCCTCAAGTATTTTATTATATAGTATTAAGTCATAGTCAAATAAATCAGTTTACAGTTGTTTAAGATTTCAGCGCTTTATATAAATTCGTATGCTTAATGAATCTAGAAATTAAGTTTAGCGACATCAAATATTCAGAGAAATAAAACTGAATCTGCATATGATAGCAACTGAATATTTTTCAAATTGTTTTTGTACAAAATGCAGTATGGTTGTCAAAATAATGAATAAATAATACACTTATATTTTCATAATATAGACTAGACTTAGCTAATAGCCATTGTTTTGGGTTTTCATGTTTTCATTCATTCAATTCGATTCAGTTTAAACATATGCTATATTTAGATCCAGAGATCTTTAATACTTTTGCTTACAGCATATATGTTCTATATTTGTATCCACATATATATTCAGTCATTTGGTTTTGTGTTGTGTCAATAGACGTTGCCAATATCTGAACAAAAGTTGAAGTAATTCATTTTAATTATATATAATTGATAACTGAATATTAATATATAAATTTCCTCAATTCTCCTACTGCAGTAAATGACCCTCCACTGGAACTATCTAGCTTTATGGCTGTTATGTATTGTGGGCGCGTTACAGCCCATAAAATCAAGTGAATACATAGGCAGGCCCTTTCCGAGACACGACAAATGGTCGCAGGCGATTAAGGGGGACTATATACCGATGCAATTTTACGAAGCGATGCGATCAGCGGAGGACTCCAAGCAAGCTTTTCAAAATCAATTGAGGAACTTCAAAGAGCATCTTCAGAGAAATCTGACTATGTCAAATGTTCTTTCGCTCGGACATGAAAATCAGCTAAACACACAGCATCAGAGAACAAAGTTACACGAATTGTCCGAGTTCTTCTATGCAGCTGCTGATGCAGCTAGAATATTTGCACGAGATTCCGAAACTTCCTACGAAGTTGCGAAGAACTCAAGCTATACGCTATTGCTGCAGCTTCGACAGATTCCATCGACGCAGCCGATTCCAGTCAAAATGCATCTAACTAATTATTTTGCAGAAATGGAATTCTTTCACATCATGTTTTCCGAGATCATTGACGAAGCCCTAGAATATACGCAAAACATTTTACTCGCTACCCAAAAGACCTTCACATACTACGCCGATGTCCAGCGATTCGTTCTGCAGAATTGGAACTTTAAGGGCGACGTGGGCTGCTGTCAGGAGTATATGGAGTTCCTGAAGCACTATTCCGACCAAATCTTCAAGTGCGCAGCCGGACGTGGCCTCAACGTCGCATTCGATGTGTTCGCAATGACCGAGCTGACGAGCAAATATATTATGCGACAGCTCGAATTTCGTATTCAAAGGCTTTTCAACTGTCTTTATTTGGGAAGTTATGAAATCCGATGCAAATTTCTACTAAATGCTGAAAAAGATTTCGAAATGTTGTTCACCAAAATTGAGGAGCTCGAAATATTCTATGACCTCAGAATGAAAAATGGACGAGTATCAGCCCTTCGACAACGACGCCAAAACCACATTGAAGAGGCGGCGCCAACTGGAGTTAAAGCACTGGACAATTGTATTCCGCTCGACTTTCCACGCAGCCAAATGCATAAAAGTTTAAAGCAATGTTTTTATAGCATAACAGAATATTAATCTATTTTTGTTTTTATATACATATAATACAGTTATATTGTTATTTTTTACAAAGTCTTGAACAATTAAATACTTTAAAAATAATTGGACTTTTGCTTTTTTCACGCCCCGTCACGTTAGCCGTAAATCTTAATAATAAATTTCAGAGCCTCGAACCTATTGAATATGGGTATATATGTATGTAACAGGCTGAAGGAGGCGTGGCCTACCTCAAGTATATATCCACGACATGAGTCGATTTAGCCCAGCCTGTCCGTCTATTCGTATATGTGATTTCTTGCAAGTATTTTTTAAAAGTATTTCTTCTAGGTATTTCCTATATTTCTCAAAATATTTTTCTCTGTATTTCCTCTAATTATTTTATCTAAATATCTCGTGCAAATATTTCTTACAAGCATTTCGTCAACGTATTTCCTCTACGTATTTCCATTTCGTAGCTCCTCCGTTTCTGTACTGCTTAGCAGAACGATCCCACACTTCACTTCATTTTACTGCACTGCACGACTGACCCCCACCAGGCCTAGGCAACTGAAGAATTGCTGCAAATACTGCCATTTATATAGGGCGAATTTCACTCAAAGTCTTCCTCGCACTCAAATGTTAAGCCCGGCGTCAGGTAGGGGTCGCTGCAATCCAGCTTTAATTGATCAAGGGGAACACTCTCTGCTGCTTCGAGCACTCTAGCTTTGTTTTACTTAAATACCAAGTTAATAGCACTGCATAGATATAGACAACTTTAATGATATTTTTTAGACATCCTTCCCGTCTTGCTGTTGTCAACTTGTGTTAGTTCACTTCAATAAAACACAAATCTTTTAGGATGTTGGGATGACATTTTTATTATATTCAATGTCTTCGACCAGGGCCAATGAAATACAACATTTGGAGTATAAAATTTTCAGGTGCAATAGTTTTAGGAGTTTGCTAATTAAATTCTCGAAGCCTTGAATGAGATTTGAGATCTCGTCACTAAGAAAATCAATACATTGCGTCGTGTATTCCAAATGAGATGAATTGTTTTCCAAGCAAAAATTAAGATGATTCAGTACACGAGCCACATTAGCCATATAACTGGAGCCATTGGCCAGTAGAATACTAAAACTTCGACAGAACGTAATTACCGGCTTTACGGTGACATCGCAGCATTTACGGAGCTGTATGGAACTTAAGGCAATCAAATCGTCCAGCAGATGACAGACGTTTCTATAGAGCCGCAGCTTATCAACAAGGCGTTGCTTGTCGCTGACCTTTCTATGCCATTGATGTGCATCGTATGTACGATCGATAAGACTACTATTGAGAACCTGGGAGGCCCATTCAATATTTTCGGCAGCACTGGCCACCTCTCCCTTCGCTCGCTCAATATTTCGCAAGACCAACTGACGAATTGATTGCGTGACATTCAGTTCCAGTACTTGAACTAGCTCAGTTATGACATCGCCAAAGAGACTGAAGACGCGAAATATGAAATCATTGTCGGAGCCCTTTTCCGTCACAGTGATCGGCTCAGTAATTATTCTTAATAGTTTATCTAGCAAACTATCGTCTCGATGATACTTTTCATATTCATTCGGAACATGTTTCTTGGCGTCCTCATTGTGCGCAGTAATTTCTACAGCCGCCAATAGTTGGGTAAATAATATTATGAACAGTAGAGCTCTTGATTCGCATCTCATCGCAATAGATTAAGCCCAAGCACTGTGAGATCGATTCAGCGATCGATCGATCGATCGATTGGGCTGTACTTGCTAACAATCCAATTAGGGTGGCATACTATTATTTTCTAATTCATGGAATTGATTTATAAGTGATTAACTGATTGTGTACACATGCATTCCAATGGACTATTCATTTCGATATTTGCTCGAATCTACTCAATATAAGCGTGCATCTACTGCCCCATTTTTATTAGACTCAGGTCCACTCTAATTCCTTTGTACTTTATATAAATTATATTAATAAGTGGTTGTGCGCCTTATCGACAAATACAATATTAACAAGAATTATAAGAATATATATGTATTATGTATTTATATATACTCATATGCAATTTTAATAAATAAATATTGCCTTCGCTCATATGAGTTTAACGAGGCCTAATATATTGTATTATACTGGTCAGCTGAATTTAATCAACAGAAGTCAAGCTTTATTTTTCCTACAATTTCTAGATTCGTATCTGAAAATAGAATTACCAAATAGCTTCTAATTGACACATATTGTTTCTTAAGAGCGACTTGTTTCTATTTTATATTAGAACAATAACATAGAGATCATGTACGTAAATGTATTCTTTTATATATAGTATGTAAATTAGAAACTAATTAATACATTAGTTTTGACCCCCAGATTGCCGTAGATTTTACACAAAGATACAAATATTCATATGTGCAATACAATATATATATGTACTCATACACTCACACACAAATATATATACATACATATGTATATTTATAAGTGAACGTTATCAGCACAACAAATGCAAATAAATAAATAAAACGTTTGGTATTTATATAAACATTGTCATTTACATATATATATTCTATGTACAAATATGTATGTTTTGTACACATATTTTGTTTATTTGTGAACATCGGCAAAAACAATGCATTGGAAACAACAGGTCAAGCAAGTAAAAAGAATTTCAATTTTGTCACGAATTGTGATATATTGAGACAGGCTCAAGACAAATACAGAAAACTCAATGTTTTATTTAAATTATATATATTGACTTTAAGCACATATTGCTACTACTTATGATTATTATGAACACCAGTCGAGTATGAATAACGAATATAGTACATAATCCTAAATACATATGTATTTGTTTTGGTTGACGAGCCGATAAGATGGAAATAAGGAAACCCGATTATCATTACTATTGCAAAGGCGAATAATAGATCGTAAATTCAACCCATTTCAATACCCGAAGCCCTTAATTTAAGTCTGTTTGGATTCGTAAGTTAGTGCTATTATATAATAATATATCAGTCTGACATACTCTGGACTCGGAAACCGATTCAAATAAATCTATCCTCAAAAATATCTATCCTCAATTATTTATTGTATAGTGATGCGGGGTCTCTACTTTGTTTGTTTACAAAATTGATTTTAATTTGAAGCACTAAACTACACGCCTTGTTAAGGCACTCAAAATACTTAATCAATGGATTGTGCAGATGTTTTAAGCAATAATTCCAAGAAAATATATGTTTAGTTATTTATTTATTTATTTTTTTTTTTTTTTTTGTAGTATGTTGTTTGCTCACATAACTGAAATTCCAAGTAAACACGTGCTAAAATTATGCTTTTTCATGAATCAAGGAACTGTTTTTGCATTGTAAAAATAAATAGATCTCTTACTATTTTTAAGCTACTAGTGCATACATATTTCTACAAATAGAAGTGCTTAACGTTTTACTGATTGTGCTATTGATATATATTAATATGCACATATATGTATACATACCACTTTCAGTACAACTACATATGCATGTCTGCGTTTACTTTAAAATAGTTTTTACTCATTTAATCAATTAATTTCACTTTATTATATATTTGTTTTGTCTTAATATTATTATAATACATAATACAGAAGTTAAAACTTTAATATGTTTTATACAATATGTATAATATATGTTTGGTACAAATAATTTTAATTTATTGATGCATTGTTCGAAATTAAAATTAAAAAATATTTATACTGCTTTAAAATTAAATTAAATTAAAAATGACACCAACGGTATTTTTTAAGCGAAAAAAGGTCCTTTTCTTGCGTTTTGGTACAAATTAATACATATTCCGTATCATATAAGGTCAACACATACATATGTATGTGTATTTGAAAGTATATACATATACACATACATATAGGCTAATCCTATTAATACTTTAAACATGCATACATATAGAATATGCATCCTGTCAATCTATTTTTAACATTACTAATCAATTATCGACAAAAGTGTTCACGCAAATGCGTAAAAGGGTAATTTACTATATTAAGCAACATTTGGCATTATTATTAACAACTGACTACATACATACAAACATTTGTAAGTGGCTACACGCCTGCAAGACAAAAGCACACCAGTTTTGTACATGCCTACACATATTAACATATTCGAACATCATACATACATACATATGCACATGAATGAGACCTATATACGTTCAGCCCCTCACGCATGTGACGGATTGTCAATCAAAACAAACATTCGCACAATTTTCCAAACAGCGTTCATAGTGGCTAAAAAGTGCATGCGATAGCAGCAATATGTTAACGAATTTGGTGCATTAATTTATTTCTCCATGTGCATTCATGATATTTACATATTTATGTAAGTAAGCACAGACAAACATACATATCGTATAGCCAGGATGGAATGCCGCTGGCCGCGAACTCACGAACAGGTCACTATTTTAATCGTTTCAGTACTTACGGTACATACTTATATGCATTACAGTTGGTACACGATTACACATAGACATACATATGTACATATATATCTGCTCTTATTGATAGACAATTACCAAAGATATGTATGTTTGTATGAGACACTGCACATGTGCGTCACTTAATTTGGCCATAAGGATACATGTACAAGGATATATCTGAAGCATATAAGCTTTTTTATATTTATTTATAGCATATATATGTATGTACTTCAGTAAACAGATACAGTTTAATATGCATATTAGTTATTGCTACACTTATCCTAAACCACAAATACATACTATGTAAACTATAGGCCAGTTGAACTTGTTTTACGACTCTGACTTTAACGAATTTTGTCACTTTAATAAAATTTATTAAATTAATCACGGTAATCCAAAAAAAATACAATACGCGGTAAAATCTGAACAAAGACTAAAAGGAATCGCGTTGTCTAGTTAAGCTTTACATTAAAAGTAATTTTTAAGCTGGAGACAGTAGCTTTTAAAGCTTTAACTCGTCAAAAGCGAACTGTGAGCAGCTGCAGCGCACGAGCAACTGAAATCTTTAATATTTGTGTGTACCCTCAAAGATTCATCACCATTGGGTAGAAAAATACAAATGTAAACACCTACATATGTATATATAAATATATATTTATACATATACAAACAAATATACGTATAAATAAATGTATATACATATAT